CCAAATAAGTAACTTCCGAGCCTTTTATTCTTTCCCCTCGATGTTTCTACGATCCGCACACATGGTTGTGCATAGCTGCAGTTGATTCACTTTCACTGCTATATCATATTTTATGTCGACTTCATACTTGTCATTCCCAGTTTGCTTTGACAAATAGTGCTGCTCTGGACATCCATTTAATTGTCCCCTGGAGCCAAAAGCAAGCATTTCTCTAGTTGCATACCTACAAGAGGAAAGACTGTCAAACACTGGCCAAGCTAATGTTTAGTATTATAAGATAATGCTAAATTATTTTCCCAAAGTAGCTACACCAATTTACACTCCCATTGAAGTGGCACCCCCTTTCTCTACAGAAAAGCCCTCTTCACCATGGCTGATTTTAGGACTGTCAGCAAAAGAGTCTCTGAGAAAGAGTCTAATGTAGATAAACTTCTTCTTTTCATGTTGCCCTGTTTACTTGGCCACTGGCCGGGAAGATACCAGCACTCCAGGTGCTGGACATCCCCTTACTAGTTTTCACAAACGTATCCAGTATAGTACTTTGAAGAAATGTGCAAACAAGGCCTCTGGCCTTGAGCTGGGCTTCACAGAGATGTCTACATTTTTAAGATAAGTTACAAATGGGCTCCATGGTAACAGCTGGCAGGGGGAGGAAGGAGAGGGGAGAAGAAGCTCTCCCCTTCTCAGGTGTTGTCCTTGAAGAGTTAACTTGCCCAAAACAGTGAAAGAAAAAGCTGCTTTTATGTGAACTTCTGCAGACTGTGAACTTCTGAGCCCCTCCCCTTACACGCGGGGTATAAAATTCTGAAACTCCCTGAACTCAGGGTTCAGGGGGATTGATTGATTACAGCAAAAGCTGTGCCCTCAGAACCTGGCTGCAGCCAAATAAAACTGTTTCCTGCTATCTTCGGTGCCCTGCCTCGTTTGTCCCTACAACACCATAACTAGTGATTTGTATTTCTTTTCAACTCAGTATATTTTAGGTCAAATCCCTTTTCTTCTAGATTGTAGACTTATGCTGATTTTCACTCTTCTCAATAGCCCAAGAAAATGATGAGGTCCTTGAACACAAACTGCACATTGTGGTTCTTAGGGAAATCTCTGGGAGGCTGGCCGTAAGCCCGCTCATTAGTAACACCCTATTACCCAAACTCTAAGATGAGGTCCAGGTGACTTGCTGAGGACTCCTGGGTCCAAGGACAATGGCAGGGGCGTTGCTAATCTGAAAAGTCTGATGCATGTGGTATCTTCCTAGTAACACAAGAACCCTCGACACAAAGCTCCAGCAGCTGCCTTCAGAATCCACTACTATTTGTAGCTCTGCCCTCACCACCCATGATTAGAACCTTTAATTTAAATCAGCCAGACACCATAAAACTAAAGATCATAAAAACATTTAACACACTTTGATTTGCTATTTGTCATTCTGGGATTTACCCAAAAAACATGATAACAAAAGAAAGAAATTATGTTTGTAAAGCTATTCATAGCAATGCTGTTTATAAGAGTGATTTTTTTTTAATTGGAAACTTTTAAATGTTGAATAACAGAGAACGTATAAAGAAAATTGTGGCATATCCACTCTGGGGATATGTTGTTGTTTCTTTCCAGAATCATTTGAGATTAAGCTGCAGAAATCATGGCCCTTCACATCTAAGTATTCCAGGGTAAGAACAAGAACATTTCTCTTACTTAACCACATTGCAATGATTGAAGTCAGAAATTTTAAACTGATCCAATGCTAACATCTACCATATAGCCCATATTCACTTTTTGCCAACTACAAATATTTCCCCAGTAATATCCAATATGGTTTGAATGTGTCCCCAAAAGTCCTTTTGTTGGAACCTTAATTCCCAATCCTGCAGTGCAAGGAGGTGGAACCTAATGGGAGGTGGGATCTAATGTTTAGGTCAAGAGGGCTCCACCTTCATGAATGGATTAAGGCCATTCTCTTAGGAGTGGTTTGGTTGCTTTGTATAAGGCAGACTCTCCCTCCTTCTCACCATGTGTTGCCCTCTAACATGTTCTTACAGAGCACAAAGGCCCTTACCAGACCAGACAGGACTTCCCAGCCTCCAGAAAAATTAGCTATATAATTTTCTCTCTCTCTCTCTTTAATCAGGGATTGAATCCTGGGTGCTTTACCACTGAGCTACATCCCCAACCCTTTTCATTTTTTGTTTTGAGACGGGGTCACACCAAGTTGCCCACACTGGCCTTGAACTTGTGATCCTCCTGCCTTAGCTTCTAGAGTCACTGGGATTACAGGAGTGCACCACCCGCCTGGCTATAAACTCTTTTTTATATATTTCCCAGTCTATAGTTTTCTGTTGTAGCAGCAGAAAACAGACTAATATACCCTTCCTAGCAATATTTTTTCCAGTTCAAGGACACAAATGCCATTTAGTTGTCATGTCTCTTTATTTCCCTTTAATCTAGTCTTTCATGACCTTGACATTAAGTCAGAGCCAGTATTTGATGGCTGGTCCCTCAATATGAGTTTGCCTGATGCCTTCTCATAATCTAAGGCAGGTGATGTATTCTTGGCATGATGTCAGTTCATCCCTTACTGGTGAGGCTGACCTTCATGACATGGTCCAGGTGGTACCTACTAGATTTATTCACTATAAAGTTTCCTTTTTTGCCTTTGTAAGTAATACATAATTTGTGGAGTGATACTTTGAGATTGTAATATTTTATTCCCCAGTAAGACTTTTCATCCATCAGGCTTAGTGTCCATTATCTATTGCCACCTGAATCCGTGATTACCATGATATTTGCAATATGGCAACTTTTCTAACTACTTTCCTTTAGCATTTGCTTGTTGGCAGCATTTATTCTACTGTAAAGAATAGCTGTCCCTACTACCTATATTTATTTGTTTGTAAGTTTATTTGCTTTTTAGTATCACTCTGGACTCATGGATTTTTTTTATTCATTGTGATCATTCATTATTGTCATTTATCATTTTGATGTTCCAGTCGTTCCAGGTTTGGCAACTGGAAGCCCTTGTGTCCTTCTGATCTATCTCCATCATTCTTTGAGCATCTCCTTGTTTTTTGGCACAAGCTATTCCTGGCTCATCTTTCACTCTCCCTGACTGAGCCATTTCTCCAGGGACCTCTGCTTCTTTTAATGGACAGTAGCATTTAGAAACCAAGACTGGGCACGAGGAATGCTCATTGCTATTCATGTGGCCTGTTCCCAGGCTCTTTGAGGGACCTATCTAAGAAATGGATTCTTAAAACAAAAAGCCTCTCATTCCAATCCACAAAACTCTTCCTTGCCTTCCCTCACTCCATATGAGTTTCCCTTTATCCCACAGTGAGAATCTTGGCTCCCAACAATATATTTACTGATTTGCTTAAACCTACAACTCAGAAAAAAAAATACTTTCAGAATTGCTACACCATGTCACTACCAACTAAGTGAATTTCAATACTGCTTTGTATTTGTGTTAGCCTGTTTACACACAGAAGGTTTACAGCCAAAGAGAGCTCTTCAGAGTTATTTGGATTTACTTTTCTGTGGTTTATTTACTATGTAGATTATTTCATTTATGTTTGTGTTCAATTTTAAGGGTTTCCCCCCTCGTCTTTGTTGATTTAACTTTAAAGTATTGAAATATTCACATTTCTAAAAGTCAAAACTACCCCAAAAAAAGCATTTTTGGAGAAACATCATTTCCTCCTAAATTTCCACCACATTTCCACCAACCCAGTAATCTGACCAATTCTTCCTGGTTTACTTTTCCTTTTTTTAAAAAAAAAATAAAATAAAATGATAGTTGAATATTTTACTAATTCCCCCTTTTTTACACAAAAATAATACAATATAGAACCGGGGTTATGGCTCAGTGATAGAGCGCTTGCCTAGCATGTGTGAGGCACTGGACCACATAAAAAAATACACAAATAAAATAAAGGTATTGTGTCCATCTACAACTAAAAAAGCATTTTTTAAAAATAACACAATATAGTATTCTTGTATTTAGCTTTTTTTAACTTATCAGTATGTCTAGAAATCGCTCCATATCCTTTCAAGAAATCTCCCTCTCTTTCACAACCGCATAGTACTGCATTGTGTGGATGCACTGGAGTTTAATGAATCAATTTCCTGTGTTTTAGCATTGAGATTGTTCCCAAGATTTTAACACTGCAAATGATGCTGCAATGAATAACCTTGTACATATATACACGATCATTGGTGTAGGTGTTTCTTCAGGGCAAACTCTCAGGGTAAACTGGGCAAATGGTAAATGTTTAGATGGTAGACATTGCCAAATTCCCGTGCTGCCCGAGTTGTGCCATCTTGCATTCCCACCAGCAATGCAAGAGAGAGCCTGCCTCCCCACAGCCTCTTGCTACTTCTGCCTTTTTGCAAATTAAATATATTAGAAGTGATATTTCAGGGTACTGTGCAATTTCTCTCTTGTCAGGAGAGAAACTGTTCATCTTTTCATTTAACACCCAATCTTATGGCATTTTTGTACAGATGGTCCGTTCATGTCTTTTTGACTACTTTTAAATTGGATTTTGGATCTCTGTCATTTACATACTGGGAATATTAACACTTTATCTGTGATATATGTTGCAAAAATCTTTTCGCAGTTTGTCTTTTTTTTTTCCTTTTCGCTACAGTTTCTGTCTTTTCCACGTTATCACAGAGGGCGGGGCCCTCGAAGAAGGCCCTGGGGCCGCGCCGCGCGTGCGCACTGACCAGCCGGCGCAGCAAAGGGGGGACGGAGGGGAGGAGCGCGAGCAGCGACCCGCAGCCGAGCTGCCTCGAGGTTCCAGCTGCAGTTCTACCGGAAGCCCCGCCCCTTCCAGGCGAGTGGCGTGGTTACCCGGCCGTCCTCGCTGCAGTACTGCGGCCCTGACTGACTGAGGGCGCGGTCAGCCTACTGCGGCAGCCCTGCTGGGCCACCCGAGCCCCGCTCGGGCCCAGCCCCACGGCGATGCCCCACACCCGCCCGGTCTCGCGACGCGCCAACCTACTTCTGAGCTCGAGGTGGTGCCGTTTCCTCCGCTGGTGGTCGCGGGCGACTCCCTCCGCGCTGCGCCCTCTAGCGTCCAGCGGCGTCAGCCAGCGGGAAGGCGGCTCAGCGCGGGGCTGCGCTACCCACCTCCAGCCCTTGCTGCGGCCCTTGCTCGTAGGGGACGCGGACAGCTCGGCCTCGACCTCTCAGGGCAAATATGGGGGAAGTGCCTTGGAATTTCAGCGTCCTCTCTCCCTCACTGCCCCTTTTCACACTCCTTGCATCCCTCCCTCCTGCAGCCTGGTATCGCATCTCAGCAAAGAGGGGGCCCTCGGCTCCTTGGGCTTCCGCCCTGATAATGTCTCCTTCGTGACGTGACACCAAACACTGAGATGCCCTTTCCAACACCAACAATCGATTCCCCAATCCACCGACTTCGACTGGGTGTCCAGCAATTCAAGGCCGACTCCAGCCCCAGGGTTAGCGGGACCCCCAGGTTAAGGGCTCAGCCCGGAAAGACTGCCCCGCATCAGCCGCTAGCCGTAAGCGGGGTGCTCAGGCTACTCGCATTTCTGCCTGCCCACTGGATTCCGGGGATTCCCAGGATCCCTATACCCCAGGTTCAGAACTCATGAGAGTTCGTTAATTGGAATTACCAGATTATTAAGATACAATTCAGGAACAGCCAAATGGCAGAGATGTTTAGGGCAAATATGGGGGAAGTCCCTTGGAATTTCCGTATTCTCTCTGAGAGTTTCATCTTCCTGGTAATTCAGTATGTTCACAAGTTAGGAAGGTCTCAACCCTGTTGTTTAAGGGGTTTTTTTAATTGGGGTTTTATTACTTGGGCATTTTTTATTAAATATTGGCCAATTACGACTGAACTAAACCTCCAGTCCATATTCTGTGGTCACCAGCCTCCATCCTGAATCCATCCAGGAACCCAGCAGTATCACCCTTAATAGCATAAACCCAGGTATAATTGAAAGGTGCTCCTTATGATAGCAAAGCAGACACTCTTGTCACTCAGGAAATTCCAAGGGCTTAAGGAGCTCTGTGCAAGGAACTGGGGTCAATGACCAAATGTATTTTTTATTATACCATGCTTCTTAAAAAATCACAACCTGCTCTAATTGTGAGAAATACATCAGACATATCCCAATAGAAGAACATTCTATAAAATAGCCTAACTACCTAAGAACTGTCCAGGTCATGGAAAACAAGAAGAATCTGAAGAACTGTTAAAATCAAAAAGAGCCTAAGGAGGCCTCATGGTCAAATGTACGGTGGTGTCCTACATGGATTCTGGAAGAGAAAAAGGACACTGGAAGAAAAATGAGAAAATCTGAATGAGGTATATGCCAATAAAACAAAATATGTATCAATAATGTAAGATACCAGTATTGGACTCTTAATTATAACAAATACTATGCAATACATGTAAATAATGGGAAACTGGTTTATGGAAACTCCCTTGTAAGTTTTCTATAAATCCCAAACTATTTTTAACAAGTTTATTTTTTTCTTAAATTTAAAAGACCTTTCAATTTTGAGGACTCACCTTCTTTGAAAGGCAGAGGAAGTCATTTCATACATAACCACTTTGCTGTTGTACTTAAGTTCAGTATCCTGGCACCAGGGAAGAGAATGCTAGAATAGGAACCTTCTGTGAAGTATGGATAATGATAACTGTGCCTAGCAGATGCAAAAGGAATGCCAGAAAAGTCCCCACACGCCAGTTCTGCCAAGATGAGGTGCCGAGCCAGTCCTCAGCTCCTCAGCCAGAGTGAGGAACTATGAGGGGGTTAGAGTGAGGAGAGGATTGGGGTGAGATTTCTTTGGAGAGAACCCTCTTCTTGCTCTGGGGTTTCATCTCCTGGTCTCTCCATTCCCCAGGAAAAATCCAGAGAGCAGAAGGCCACTTGGAGAGCTTGATAGTGTATGTCCTTGCAATTGGGGGACCCTGTGGATGAGCATGTGACATCACCTAGGAAATCCAAGCATGAGTTGGGCTGACAGCTGCTCTGGTAGCAAGACCAGGAGCTAGGAGTGTGCTGCAGCCTTCTGATCAGCCTGTGCTCCTTGTAGGAGTCCTTGAACCAGAGGTGGATCAGATGGGGGAGGAGAAGGGAAGCTGACATTGGATCATTTAGGGTTATGTCCAAAAGGTCTGCTTAGGACACAGAGGGAAGGATGCTAGGTTTCTATGAGCTAAAGAAGTTATAAGTTATTTCCCTAAATTGAGTGGCATTCACTGGAATTAGGAGATCAGGGTAGAAATCTCCAGAGAAATTCCAAAAATACTCAGGAGAAGAAAGGACAGCAATAGCAGGCCCTGGGAGCTCAGAGCTTCCCAGCCTCCTCCACTCCCTCCACCCCTCCCCTGGTGGGAGCGAAACATCTGGGCTCTAAGGAGATCAGCAAGAGAGCTAGCGGAAACCCTGGACCTCACCCCTTCCTGCAGGCAGGCAGCCCCAAACCCTGACCTAGCTGCCCTTGGGAAGGCCCTGGAGGACTGCTAAATATCTAGGACTGCACGGACTAATTTCTAGAAGTGATCCTGAAGTTGTCCCCTCCCTAAAGCCAGCAGGAAAGTTTTGGGTCTCTGAGGAGTTGAATTGTGTGTCCCTGAAAAAGAGATGTTAAAGTCCTAACCTCGAGCATCTCAGAAAGTGTGGCCTTATTTAGAAAGAGGGTCACTGGGGATGCAGTTAATTAAGACGAGGTTGTGCTGATCCAATAGACTGGTGTTTTTATGAGAAGCTAGCTGTGCGAGGATGGAGACAGATGGAGAAAGCCACCCGATGATGCAGAGCTGGAAGGCCACCAAGCCTAGGAAGATGCGAGGTTGATTCCCTCCAGGCTTCAGAAGGAGGATGCCCCCACCAACACTGAGATTTCAAACTTCTGGCCTCCAGAACTGAGAAACAATTAAGATCTGTTGTGGCCCCCCCAGTTTCTGGTACTTTGTTACAGAAGCCCTGGGAGGCTAACACAGTGGTAGTAGTTTTCCTCTGTGCAAATGAAGATACTTTTAACTGGATTTTTTTGGGGGGTGGGTACTTGGGATTGAACCCAGGGACACTTAACCACTGAGCCACATCCCCAGCTCTTTTTCAATATTTTATTTTGAGACAGAGTCTCACTAAGTTACTAAGGCTGGCTTTGAACTTGCGATCCTCCTGCTTCAGCCTCCTCAGCTACTGGGATCACAGGTGTGCACCTCCGTGTCTAGCTCTACAGGATGAATTTTAAAGAGAATATAAAAGATAAAGCTGTGTTCACTGTGTAATGTGAGTTATGCATACGATATACCAGTTACTCCAACTGCTGTGAAGTAAATCTCTCCAAGGGACCAAGGGAATGTGACAGGCCCCTGAGAAGGCGGCCTAGGTCTGTAGATGGTACCAAAGCATAGGGGACCTAGCAGAGTGGCAAAAAACTTAGGCACTCTTTCTAGGAATACGCCCACACAGACGGCCACCCATGTGCCAAATGCTGCAGGTATATTTAAGGTTATTCAGTGAGGCCTGGTTTGTAACAACAGAAGACTGGAAACTACCTGGATATCAGGTAGGGACAGTAAATAAATGGTGGTGCTACATGCACTAGAACACTACAGCTCTTAAAAAGGAGGGGAAGCAAGAAGAGAATAAGGAAGCTGTGAGAAATGTGTGGACTATGACAGGCCCCCTTGGTGTAAAAGGGTTGGAAGCTGGGCTGGGAGTGGAGCCCAGTGGTCAAGCTCTTCTGCTGAGACACTGGTTTCAGTACCCAGCACTGAGGGGGGATTAAAAAAAAAGTAGGCAAGAAGGCTGATAACAAAATATTAATACATTTGCTTGTATTTACACAAGGGACCTAAAAGTGTGCACATGAAGTGTTTTTTTTTTTTAATTTTTATTTATTTATTTTTTGTTTTTAGTTGTAGATGGACGCAATAGCTTTGTTTTATTTGTTTTATTTTTACGTGATGTTGAGGATCAAACCCAGTGCCTCACTCGTGCTAGGCAAGTGCTCTTCACTGAGCCACATCCCAGCCCACATGAAGCTTTTAAGAATAGGGATACTTTGAGGAATGGGATGCGTGGAAGCAGGGGAGAAAAGGGAACTTTTCACTGCATTTCTTTTTATAAGCACATAATCTACCAGTAAAATGAAACTAAAAAATGAAGGAAAACGTGGAGAAAACAGGTTTCTGTAGTGGGGGCAAGTTGGCCATATTGACTAGCAAGTGACTGTGGAAATCCTAGACTATTACAGCTCAGAATGGCATAAGGCCATTAGCTAGAATTCTCCAATAGCGAATGGGCAGTGGGCTGTGCAAGTTGACTAGCCTTTATTTCAAAGATTAGAAAAAAAAAAATCTCTGTACCTTTCTAGGAGCCACAGAGGCCTAAGGCATCACTGATTTTTCGTCCTCATGTGCTCTGTGCGTCTCGAGGGCTTTTAAAATATGTACATAGTGGTCCCTCTGCATCCTCGAGGGATTGATCCCATGACCGGCCCTTCACCCCACTCCTCTCTGATACCCAAGTCCACAGACACTCAAATCACTCATAGAACGTGGTCTGGTACTGGGCTGGGGGTGGAGCTCGGTGGTAGAGTGTATGCTTAGCATGTGTGAGGCTCTGGGTTCCATCCCTAGCACTACCACACAGACACACACACAGTAAAAATGATATATATTTCCATAAAACGCATGACTATCCCCAATCTACTTTAAATCGTCTTTAGATTACTTGTACCATCTAAACAATGTAGGTGTTATGTAAATAATTGTTGTACTGTATTGTGTAGGGAATAATGGCAAGAAAAAAGTCTGTACATGTTCAGTCCAGGCATAATTTCTTTCAAATATCTTCCACCTGACTTTGGTTGAATCTGCAGGTATGGAACCTGCAGATACAGAGGGAGGATCAACTGTACATGGAATTATTTTCCCTTTCAATACTACAAAAACCCAGGAAGGCAGAGGAAACAGAGAATCTGAATTCAACTTATCAGAGTTGAATTATCAGAACTTGAATTTCAGCATGGCCCAGAGCCTCAGTTTCATTTGGGGAGGATCAGAATGGGACAGAG